GGGAGCGCCGCCACGCTTCCCAAGCGGCGCACTATCCAGTGCGCCACCGGGCCGGCCCGACTATCTGTGCCTTTTAATTGCGATATTTAGACTATTTAAAATTTTACTGTGATTATTAATATATTTGGGTATAATTTTAGGATCTTGCTATTTTGTTTTCTGTTTGTCCCCTCAATCCTGTTATTTCTCTCTCTCTCTCTTTCTGCCTTTTGGATTTTATTTATAATTTTTTTAAAGTAGGTGGATTTTATTTAGTTTTTAATTTTTGTTTAATTGACATGTAATAATTGTACATATTTATGGGGTACAGAGTGATATTTCAATACGTGTATACACTGTGTGATGATCAAATCATGCTAATTAGCATATCCATCACCACAAAAATACATCATTTCTTTGTGATGAGAACATTTGAACCCTCTCTTCCATTTGAAAATATATAATAAACTATTGGTGCCTAACACTACTATCAAATACTAGAACTTATTTTTCCTTTCTAGATGTAATTCTGTATCCATTAACCAACCTTTCCCTCTCCTCCCACCCTCTCCTCTTTCCAGCCTCTATTAACCATAATTCTACTCTCTTATTCTATGAGCTCACTTTTTTTTTTTTAACTCCCCCATATGAGTGAGAACATGCAGTATTTATCTTTTTGTGCCTGACATAATGTCTTTCAGGTTCATCCATTTTGCCATGAATGACATGATTTCATTCTTTCTTCCTTTGTGTATAATATATACCACATTTTCTTTATCCATTTATCTGTTGATGGACACTTAGTTTGTTTCTATGTCTTGGCTATTGTAAGTAGTGCTGTAATAAACATGAGGGTGCAGGTATCACTTTGATATACTGATTTCCTTTCCTTTGGGTAAATACCCAGTAGTGGGATTGCAGGATCATATGGTAGTTCTATTTTTAGTTTTTTGAGGAATGTCCATACTGTTTCCCATAATGGCTGTACTAATTTACAATTCCATCAAAAATGTAGAAGAGTCCTCTTTTCTCAACATCCTTACTAGCCTTTGTTGTTTCTTTTTGATAATAGTTATTCTAATTGGAGTGAGATGATATCTCATTGTAGTTTTGATTTGCATTTCCCTGATGATTAGTGATATTGAGCATTTTTTCATATAGCTGTTGGCCATTTCTATGTTTTCTTTTACGAAATGTCTATTCAGGTCATTTGCCTATTTTAAAAAAGGATTATCTGTGGGTTTTGTGTTTGTTTTTGCTATTGAGTTGTTTGAGTTCTTTGTATATTATGAAGATTAATCTCTTGTTGGATGAATATTTTACAAGAGCAGAACTAAGTGAAACAGAGACCAGGAAAATGATTCAAAAATCGATGAAACAAAAAGTTGGTTTTTTGAAAAGATAAACAAACCTGACAAAACATTACATTAGCCAGACTAAAAAAACAAGAGAGAAGACCCAAATAAAATCTTAAATGAAAAAGATGTTACAACTGATGCCACAAAAATACAAAGAATCATTAGAGACTGCTATGAATAACTATATGCCAGAAAATTAGAAAACACAAAGGAAATAGATATGCTTCTTTACACATATAACCTACCAAGATTGAACCAAGAAGAGACAGAAAACCTGAACATATGGTTTACAAGTAACAAAACTGAATTAGTAATTAGAGTCAGTAATTGGTCTTCTATCAAAGAAAAACCCAGAACTAGATGGCTTCACTGTTGAGTTCAACCAAACATTAATGAAGAACTAACACCAATTCTTCTCAAACTATTTCAAAAAACCAAAGAGGAAGGAATTCTT